TCCTCTCTCTGTTCTATGTTACTTCCTATGTTCCATCCTTTTTTCTCTATAATTTGTACCCTCCTTCATTCCTATCATCCTGTGAAGTTTTGTCTTTGATATTTCTTGATGTAATTGCCAGACATTGGAATTAGGTCATGGATCAAACCTTGCCAGTCCCAACTGAATCATGAATAATCAATTATTGATTATATTGTTGTTTCTCATGTGATTTTCTACAGGAAAATGACACAACAATGCAAAGGCAAATGGAGAGTTTCATTGGTAAAGTTTTACACCAAAGTGAACTCTGGTTCCATGGCAATATCTCTCGTGAAGAAGCAGAGCGAAGGCTGCAGCGCTGCGGATGCACAAATGGTCTGTTTCTTATCAGAGAAAAGAAGGCTATGGGAACATTTGCTATGGGACTGTGCTACAATGGTAGCGTTGTTCACTACCTGTTTGATGTTGATGCAACTGGACAGTTGTCAATTCAAACTGGTCCAAAGTTTGAAAACTTGATGCTTGCTATTGATCACTACACCTTTTACAATGATGGGCTTTTGTATAATCTTAAAGAACCCTGTGATGCTTCACTGTTCGAAAGTAGGCCATGCCAAGAGTTCCAGTCTCCTGGACGACCAGCAAGTAGATCATTTGGTGAAAATGATACAACACCAAGATCACCCAGTAAGTGAGCTCAATATTATTCAAAGTTTTCAACATTTTCAACTTATCAAGGCATTCTGATATAGTGCGGCAAAAAAAGAAAATTATGCGGCATTTTAACATCAAATTATGCGGCACAAATGTTCAATTATGCGGCAAAAATTCCCGATTATGCGGTAAATTGCACAATATTGCAAAATCGTTTTCTCATGTTTATTTTAATTTTTTTGTCACATAAAAATATTTCATTTACGATTCTATGGCTTTTAGTGTTAATCTAATTTAAAACCACAGACTAATGTCTTTTTATTGCTTCAAGTTGTAATTTCGATTCCTGGGATCGCTAAACTGCAACGTGCGCGTTTTAGTATAAGAGTACTTTACACATTTTCATGTCAATATTATCATTATACAAAATGTTCTCTTATCACTCGAATAGCGGCGTCGAATATGAGAACTGAAGATCGTGGGTTTGATTCTCGACTTGAGCAGCTTCTGGACGTGCATCTTTTTTTTTCTTTCTACGTTTTTTAACTTTTATTAAAATATTCAGAAGAAATATTACGAAAAGATTATACACAGAATCCATTAAATCAATCACGATGCTAAAAAGAAATCTTTGGAAGAAAAGAAAAGGATCTCCGCCGTAAAACTAGCACCAGTTCCCAGAATCTGCTGTCGAGCAAGTAACGCCTTGTAGATAAATGACGAAATCATATTAGTCACGTTTGTTTTGAATATTCGATGGTTTTTGTGGCTAGTGCCTCGTAGAGGCTCAAGCCACTATGCTATCCGCCTTGTAAGTGCGTGTGAATGAATGTAATTTGGGATAACTCCGCTTTTCCTCCGGCGCATTTTCGTTATTGTTCGGATACATTCGTAATTTCCGTTATAAGTTGGGCTTCCTGTGTAATTGCGTCATAAACAATGTGATGATGTCGATGATGTCACAACTAATGGTGCCTACCCCTCCCCTCACAATTATCTACAACTTACCTAAACCACCCCTCCCTCACAACTCTCTTGTCCGCGTGCACACGCTTCGCTGTCCCGATACTCATTCGGGCGCGCATCCAATATATACAACAAAATTAACGACTTTTCATCCATGTGGGATGTTATGTAAAATCACTTTTCTTTCTATTAAAGGAAGTCTACTGAGTCTACACATTTCAAAATACAATATTATAATATTCACTTGATCTATAATTATAAATTGTCTTAATTAATGACATAAATTTTGAGTTTTTATATATAAGACACCCAAAGATCGAATACATGGAATATGAATAATGTCAGCTGACTAATTACATATTAATATAGGATCTTAA